TTAGATGACGGTACGGGACACAAAAATGAAACAGATTCGAAAGTCACTTGTGTGTATAATGAAGAGATATAAGGACCAAGACAAAACTCATTCTGGAAAAATGCAGCTGATAATTTTGAGAATACAGAAAGGTTCAAGTATATCGTTTCGGACTTAAGAAAATCAAAGTAAATGCGACAATCAATCGAGTCGAAACCATCAATGGGATTCGCTTAATTGCAAAAGGCACTCAAAAAATAGCATCGAAAAAGAAATACAATAACTAACTTGGAGGCGGATCGGCGCTTTTCCTTGTTGCTAGGATTAACATTTGTCCCTGAAAGCCCACCTAAAACAGCTGATCCGCTGACTACAGAGCCAGCCTGTAAGGAGGTCTGGATCATCGCGCTAAGGATAGCGGCAAACCGTCCCGAGTGTTGGTTGTCCGGACAGCCCCAAAAATGTAGAGCCGTAACAGATAACTTGTCCTCCGCACCAGTGTTATTGTCTCTACATCCAACGGAGGATGGGCAAGAAATGGGACGAGCCAGAAGAGCTCGCATCAATTCAGGAGTCGGTTTCTCCAGCTTCAAAAGGAGCAGTAGGTTGGCGCACGCTTCAGGATGACGAAGAGGATCTACCAGAGGAATAAGTGGAATAAACGCTTTTGTTGGGATCTCGTGGGCGTTGATAAGTTGCCAGAAAAAATACTGCTCCATACAGCTCCAATTAAGACTGGCTTGTAAGATTTTTGTTAGGTCCGCCTTGGGAAACAGATTCAAATGCCCGCGTATGATTTCACAAATCAAGAAGTTCATTTGATCTGAATCAATAGAGCTCATAACAAGTCGGAGAAACTCGATATCTTCAGCCAAAATCGAAGAAAACTGAAAGTAAGCAATTCAATTAATATGATTGAGTAAAATAAGACGCTACTAAGTTAGAGCTAAAAAAGGGATTAATGAGAAGACCATGCTTACCACAGTGAATATGTCGGGAAGTAAGTATGCGAAAAGTCTCCGATTATCATCTGCCAGC